CTGTTTGAAGCTTTAATGGGTCATACTGTACCTCTCTAGAGAGATATAATAAATTTATGGAATTACTTTAATTAAACGGTACCATTTTCACCAAGACACAAATCATGAAGAAACTAGCACGTTATTCTGCGATTAATCGTTACCAAACACCAGGAAATATCAACATGCTGTGGTAAAGTTGGCGGTGTATTGCTGGATGTAACCCACTACCCCAGATATAAGGAAGCAATTAATATAACGTATCATTACGTTGTAACACATCCATCTAGGACCAGTCTGTCATACATACATTGTGTGCATCATGTGCGTATTGTTTATAAAGTGCACATTGTTTAGAAAGTGCACATTGTTTATAAAGTGCACATTGTTTATAAAGTGCGCATTGTTTATAAAATACACATCGTTTATAAAGTGCTCATTGTTTATAAAGTGCACATTGTTTATAAAGTGCTCATTGTTTATAAAGTGCACATTGTTTATAAAGTGCACATTGTTTATAAAGTGCACATTGTTTATAAAGTGCACATACTGAGTGACTGTTACATGACTGTCTTTGGTAAACAGCGTTAAACCTATACTGTATACCATACACAGGTATAAGCGAGGGTAGGGAAATTTCATGTACATTGCTCTTTCTTGGTTACAGCTTAATAGATATAAAGATTGTATTTAGCAATCAGACTGAAAAAGGCAATGCAGTTATATCAAGATACGCTTCTGATATTATCTTTAAGTGAAGTAACTGCGTTCACTAAGTCACTAGTGTATTTTTAAGACTGGAAGATGGATTTGATACAGTCTAGAAGCTGCTAGATTTGGGAGGTGAGTCCCCCCAACCCCCCCCCCCAACCCCCCCTCCCCCACAGGGCCACAGTCCCCCCCCCCCCCCCTCACCGCCCCCCCCCCCCCCACAGGGCCACAGTCAACAGTGCCACACCGCTCATATATACTGAAGACCTCAACTTTACCCAAGAACATCCCTCTACAGACGGAACTATACCCTTCCTTGACGTTCTCATCCACCCTGACAAATCCACATCAGTCTACAGAAAACCCACCCACACCAACCTCTACACCAAGTACTCCTCCTGCACCACCAACTCATCTAAGAACGCAGTCATCCGATCACTGACCAGAAGAGCCCACAACATCTGCTCACCCCAACACCTTGACGACGAACTCCAGACAGTACGACACGTTTGCCTCCAGAACGGCTTCCCTCCTCACCGCATCACCACCATCATGGACGAAGTACAACGGAAATTCACCAACCCCTCTCGCCACCAATCCCTAGCCTCATTCAACCGACAGACCCGTGAACATGCCCTTAGTGTTTCTCTTCCTTTCCATCCCTCCCTATCCAAACCCATCTCCAAGATCCTCGGACAACACGACATCAAAGTCACCCACTCCTCTGCTACCTCCCTCCGCAACCTCCTCACCAAAACGAAGACCACACCCCCTACTCACCTCACTCCCAACACCATCTACGAAATTTCCTGCTCACAGTGCCCCTCCAAATACGCCGGACAGACCTACAGACCCTTGGTCCACCGCATGAAAGAACACGAACGATGTTACAGACTCAACAACGCCATCGACGAATCCACAGACAGAATCAAATCAGCCCCTGCACATCATGCCCTGACCACCGGCCACACCATCTCCTGGAACAACATCGAAGTCCTCAAATCCCTCACCTCACGCTCCCAACTTGACCTCACAGAACACGCAGCTATACAAATACGACAACCAGCTATGAACAGAACAGACCGCGCACCCAAATGTAGTTCCCTCTGGGACCCCATTCTTCCTAAAATTGCCAAATCCTTAAAGTCCAGACCATCTGGCATTTCCTTCTCAACCTCAACAGAAGACTAATTTTTTATTGACATTGTACTGTAATTTTCACTTTCCCACCCACACCTCCCCCACCCTCCATCCCTGACACCACTCAATCACATATAAGCATTGTCCACCACATCACATTCAGCTGACGACGATTAACACATGTTTATTGAAAGCTTCTACAAGTTAAATCATCGTATCTCTTATATGTTTTTAACCCAACTCCACTCAGTTTTATTTTGATACGCAACACCACCCCTATGGATCAGACAGCAAACAGTGCAGAATCCACAGAAACACCTAATCAACACACCAACCTTACAACACAAACACCTAATCAACACATCAACCCTACCACCCAACTTTCATTTAATGACTCACTCATATCACTATTTGGACAGCATGCATCCACACTGGCCAAAACCACCTCTCACAGCATAGAACACATGGCCATTAACTCATGTCACATATCATTCCTGAAAGCCTGCCGTGATCACTCACTCATCCCTAAGGGACTCAGACTCACCAACCCACTATCCACCAAACGCTCAACTGAAGTCCTCACTCACGCATCTAACCTCCTCATCACTGAAAGACTCAACCACTATCGCCTCAAATATGCACAACACAAACGTACTTATGAGCACAACCTCAGACACATAGAATCACTCATAACCCCTCAATATTTTCAGAAACTAGGACACCTCAACACCAAAAAATCCTCATACACCCACAGAAAACAACTCCTTACTCACCAAAAGAAGTTCTTTGTACTACTCTCAGAATACGACACCCCGTTCCTCTCACCCTACGACACTCTTAAAACGCTCGACATACCCTCTCCCACATTTCATGGTCCCCTCCTCAAGACCTCACCTACCCCCAAGAAAGACACCACAGCCAAAACAGTGATCAACCTCTCTGGACAGACCCTCTCCACAGCTGAAACTGACGTCCTCTCCCTTGGACTGAAGTTCGTCCCGACACCCACCTCAGATCCTACCCCCGACCTGGCTCCCCTCATACAGAATATCACTAAACAACTAGGAGAAGGCATGGAAGCCTCAGCCACATATCAGGTCACCTCTGTATTATCTAAATTTGACAATAAACGTGACATGACCACCGACAATTTGACTCCACAACAACGTACCGCTCTTAAATCTTTAAAATCTAAGAAATCTGAATTGAAATTTCTTCCTGCTGATAAGGGCAACGCCACTGTTGTACTGACTCACGATCAATACATAACCAAAGTTACCGACCACTTATCCTCAGGTAGTTACACCCTCTTAACGAAAGACCCCACTCAATCCGTTACCACTAAACTACAGAAAGTCCTCAAGAAACTACACACCGACAAGAAGATCACGACCGACCTATACCACAAGATGCGCAACCTACATCCTAGATGGCCTCAACTTTACGGACAACCTAAGATACACAAACCCGGCGCACCTATCCGCCCCGTAGTCAGCTTCTACAACACCCCCCTCCAAGCCCTCCACAAAGTCCTCGCATCTTTCCTCAAACCCCTAGCCCAGAACCCCTTACGCCTCAAAGACTCTTCCGACTTCAAACATCGCTTCGACTCCTCTCTCAATCCCTCCTTCCACTACCACGCCTCCTTAGACGTCCAATCCTTGTACACCTCCTGTGACATGCGCCTAGCCCTCAAAACTGTCATCTCCTCCTTTGAACAGAACCCCTCTCGTCTTCCCTCCAATGTCACCACCACCACCATAGGCTCCCTTATCAACTTTTGCCTTGACAACTCATACCTTGAATTCAACGGCTCCTTCTACTCCCAAGACGAAGGTGGTACAATGGGATCCCCCCTCATTGTTGAACTAGCTGAAATCCGCCTTGCTGAAATCGAGACCTTAGCTTTATCCTCATGTCCTGACCCTCCGAACACTTACTCCCATTTCGTTGACGACGGCCTTGGATCTTTCAGAGACAGAAACCACGCAGAATCCTTCCTTACATTCCTTAACTCCCTTACTGAAGACCTCAACTTTACCCAAGAACATCCCTCTACAGACGGAACTATACCCTTCCTTGACGTTCTCATCCACCCTGACAAATCCACATCAGTCTACAGAAAACCCACCCACACCAACCTCTACACCAAGTACTCCTCCTGCACCACCAACTCATCTAAGAACGCAGTCATCCGATCACTGACCAGAAGAGCCCACAACATCTGCTCACCCCAACACCTTGACGACGAACTCCAGACAGTACGACACGTTTGCCTCCAGAACGGCTTCCCTCCTCACCGCATCACCACCATCATGGACGAAGTACAACGGAAATTCACCAACCCCTCTCGCCACCAATCCCTAGCCTCATTCAACCGACAGACCCGTGAACATGCCCTTAGTGTTTCTCTTCCTTTCCATCCCTCCCTATCCAAACCCATCTCCAAGATCCTCGGACAACACGACATCAAAGTCACCCACTCCTCTGCTACCTCCCTCCGCAACCTCCTCACCAAAACGAAGACCACACCCCCTACTCACCTCACTCCCAACACCATCTACGAAATTTCCTGCTCACAGTGCCCCTCCAAATACGCCGGACAGACCTACAGACCCTTGGTCCACCGCATGAAAGAACACGAACGATGTTACAGACTCAACAACGCCATCGACGAATCCACAGACAGAATCAAATCAGCCCCTGCACATCATGCCCTGACCACCGGCCACACCATCTCCTGGAACAACATCGAAGTCCTCAAATCCCTCACCTCACGCTCCCAACTTGACCTCACAGAACACGCAGCTATACAAATACGACAACCAGCTATGAACAGAACAGACCGCGCACCCAAATGTAGTTCCCTCTGGGACCCCATTCTTCCTAAAATTGCCAAATCCTTAAAGTCCAGACCATCTGGCATTTCCTTCTCAACCTCAACAGAAGACTAATTTTTTATTGACATTGTACTGTAATTTTCACTTTCCCACCCACACCTCCCCCACCCTCCATCCCTGACACCACTCAATCACATATAAGCATTGTCCACCACATCACATTCAGCTGACGACGATTAACACATGTTTATTGAAAGCTTCTACAAGTTAAATCATCGTATCTCTTATATGTTTTTAACCCAACTCCACTCAGATATATTTGATTGTCATGGCGATGCAATATTTACAATTTTACATACGTCTGTTGAGTATGGATAGTCATTATAGAGTGGCGAGTCAATCAATCAGTACATATATATGTGATATAGCTTAATGTTGCCAAATTACAAAGATTTTAATATTCCAGGTACAAAATATCATTGCCGGGGGACACGGTCTAAAACAACCATGATCGTTGATACTTACATATATTATGAACGATCTGTGAAAATAAATTCCTTTTAAATCCCATCCTCAGTAATTACAGCACTGTCACTTGAGTGGCACAATTTAAATACCTACCATATCAGGAAATATTAAATATAAGTATTTAAACACATATTTACATACAGCGATGTCACATTCGCACGACAAATATTTTCATAAAGTTCTTCGTTATCTTCGCAGATTTTAACATTACTCGTTGCCAATAAATGATAGGATGCCTCTTTACAAATGGTGACATGATCTCTAAAATATCACCTCTTGATCTCTAGAATCATGACGTCACGTGGTCGCTTAAATCATGACGTCACGTGATCTCTAAAATCATGACGTCACGTGATGATCACACAGTGTCCACGTGTTTGTTGACAACCCTCTGCTTAACCGAGATGATGAAAGACATCCAGTTCTGTTTGAATCCCTTGTTGAAGGGTGAGTGGTAGTAATGTGATCTCAACATGTCGTCGTGTATTGGATATCCTCGTCGCAAACACCTTTCCTCGTATCCTGGAGGAGATAGTATCCTGTTAGACAATCAGATTATCTGGCCCACACCAATATCTCATCGCAGGTGCACAACGTGTGATAATGTAATCAAATATTGGCACAACTGAGCGCACCCACATTGTGAGACTCCTACCAAATTTCTACAAGCTGACTCAGTCCAAAACTTAGCTTCGGAATCAGTGTGATTGTAACATACCAGTGAGATTGTAACATACCAGTGAGATTGTAACATACCAACTGTGAGATTGTAACATACCAGTGAGACTGTAACATACCAGTGAGATTGTAATATACCAGTGAGATTGTAACATACCAGTGAGATTGTAACATACCAGTGAGATTATGACATACCAGTGAGATTATGACATACCAGCGAGATTGTAACATACCAGTGAGATTGTAACATACCAGTGAGATTATGACATACCAGTGAGATTATGACATACCAGCGAGATTGTAACATACCAGTGAGATTGTAACATACCAGTGAGATTATGACATACCAGTGAGATTATGACATACCAGTGAGATTGTAACATACCAGTGAGATTGTAACATACCAGTGAGATTGTAACATACCAGTGAGATTGAAGGTGATAAGCTTCATCTGGATTATAAGGTGGTAGAGCGTGACCAGTAGCACGGCGCACGAGAACAGACCGATTGAAAACAACACAGACGACCTGAAACAAAATTAGAATTATTAATTAACTGATTAATTAAAACTGAGATGAATTTACCTGTAAATTTAGACACTTGTGGGGAGTTGAACCATATTTTGTCTGACACGTGATTAAGAAATGAGCGCCCAGCATTGACCAATCAAACCCAGAAACATAGTCACGTGCTAAAACAACAATGATTCACCCCCTCCCCCCACCAGTACATCTCCCAATGTATGTACCCTCATCAGTCATCACTGCAGACAGTTGACTGCTGCATCAGACAGTGCAGCACCAGGAACAGTACCAGGAACAGCAGGTACAGCACCAGGAACAGCAGGTACAGCAGGTGCAGCACTAGGTACAGTACCAGGTACCCTGGCATCAGGTGTGGCACCAGGTACCCTGGCATCAGGTGTGGCACCAGGTACCCTGGCATCAGGTGTGGCACCAGGTACCCTGGCATCAGGTGTGGCTACCAGTGCAGCCCTCCCCAACATAATATTATACATTGAGAGGCTTCACTACGTAGTTACTACGGGCTACTACCCAATATTCCCTCGCTCAATCTGTAAACATTTCCTATCCGCCGAAAGAGCCAGCTGGGCTACTAAACTGCCGGAGCAGCCGACGTTATCTCGCAAAACACGCTGATTTTCTAATTATATGATTACCTAATGACGCATTTACGTAATTACGTGCTAGATCGAGAAACCCGACACAGGTAAATACTAAATATTGGTAGGTGTACGTGTGTACGTGTGTACGTGTGTACGCGTGTACGTGTGTACGTGTGTACGTGTGTACGTGTGTACGTGTGTACGTGTGTACGTGTGTACGAGTGTACGAGTGTACGTGTGTACGTGTGTACGTGTGTACGTGTGTACGTGTGTACGTGTGTACGTGTGTACGTGTGTACGTGTGTACGTGTGTACGTGTGTACGTGTGTACGTGTATACGTGTGAATATGTAACGATCCTACATATTACACATACTGATGAGACTGAGTTTAATGACTGAGTGTTGGGTACCTGATAATGTAACGACTTATGTTCAGATACTTAGAGATTAAATAGTGGACTTCCTGGACCCTTTTGGGGTGGGCCAGGTGATTAGGCTTATACTATAATTAACCCCAGCCCTGCCTCCGGTACACAGATGTTATGGTATTAAGGCGCAGGGATATGACAGTTTGATATTATATAACTCGAATTATTGTTTACGAATTTATTGCGCGTTAGATGTTGAAATTTAATATAAGAGATGGCCTTATATCCTCGTGACTCAAGTACAGTAATAACAATTTGCGATCGTGTTGAAAGGAAAACAATTGGCTGCAATTTGTAGGCAAACTGTTGATTACACGTACAAATCGGTTACTTTTCAGCAGAGGAAGTCCGCAGAAACGTCCGTAAGATGCGCAACAATGCCGTATCAACTTGCTTATTAATCTTCACCGCTATTTACATTGATATTAGCCACCGTGTATCCACTGACTATGTTTAGCATACGTAATCTATATTATATTTAATAACATAGTCACAACACCACATATCAGTGACTTGGTGCTTTTAATGTTCATACTCCAGGATTAGAGAAAACATCGTGTATGACGTATTGACGTTAGCAATATATACATTGTGTCGTTCATAATTTGTGCGCTACATTTTATTTTTAATACTTGATGCTGAGTACCATTGTTGATGGAAATCAATGCGCGCTAGCTAGGCATTACATGATACACAACTGTCACATACGATAGATAAAATCTAAGTACTAACCATCGATACAATGTTTTTAAACATTATAAACACTGCATATTATACTGACAGCGGTGTTTTGAAGGAGACAGTTTGTTTTATATCTAATTAGAGAAATGCACAATTATCATATTATTATTATGATCATCTTTGTATAATCTTTATGGGGGGGGGGGGGGGGGTGGGGTTGGTTTATTAAGCATGATCTTAAGAAGATTTCTGATTACTGCAAATTATCATTATGAGTATCATGCATGGTGACAACAGAAGATATAGAATTACTGGAGCATTTAACACTTATATAATTAGTGGAACATTTCATTATTTAAAAGTATTTAAACCCGGAAGTATTAAAACCAGGGGTGTAGGAAGCGGGGGGGGGGGCAGGGGGCGCAAAGCTCCCACCTCCCCCCCCCCCCCCCCCTCATGAAGAAAAAAAAAACTCTGTAAGTTGCTACCCTAACACTTACCTATTCCCCAGGATATAAGCTTTACAGTTGGGAACAGAAAAGTTTGGTGACAGCTCAACAAACCCACATCTGAAATAAGAACATGTCAAAAGACAAAAACTCAATGTTCAATTACAGCATTCAATTTTACATTGTTTGAAATACAGGACACACTGATAACACGTTTACAGCGCAGTTATTTCGAGACAGAGACTTTTATAAAACAATAACACCCCACAATTGCAGGTAAATCTATAAAAATCATTTAAATATATATCACGAAAACCTATTTAATAAAGAAGATGATATCAGATTATCTAAATGAACAGGCCCTGCTTTAAAACCAATGTAAGAACTCACGCAGTGGAAAAGAAGTCCCAAGTTGTTGAGAATGTGAGGTTTATAAGTGCGAGAAGCAGGATCAGATAAGACACGTGGTTACTAGAACCCACACACTGGTCAAACCTTAGAGTATTTGTTAGATTATACAGGTGTTAGACGTTACACACAGGTGTTAGACGTTACACACAGGTGTTACACGTTACACACAGGTGTTACACACAGGTGTTACACACAGGTGTTTTTGATTGAAATAAATTTTCGTGCACATACAGAATGAATGGTTAATAATTTAATATATATGTAGACCAAGGTCTGTGCACGGGATGCTTCCTGGAAGAATCCAGTTCTTTTAGCGGGGCACCCTACCTAAAGCCAAATTGAGATATAATAATCATATTCCTAGAGAAATAATCAGAAATCGAATACCAATCAAATAATATGATATATAGGAGTAGTAACCATATTTACTATGCAAAATGCCCCAACCACATAGTGTAAATTTATATAGAATTCAAATTCCATATCATCATTAAACCTCAATAGTCAATATAATAGCCCAAGCAAAATTAAATAACTTCTTATATACCTTACTGTCATACTACAAATTAATTAAACATTTGAAATCTGTTAACCAGAGAATAAATTTCTAAACCTAATGCAAGTGAAATAATTTAGATGCAATAATGAATGCCCGATGTGAGTATCATCTGTCAATGTCCTTGTAAAAAAGTCTGTAAAAGAGATATGAGTAACTAATATAGAAGAAAAAACAGGAAGTTGTCGTCTGTTGAAAAATAAATAAAATATCTAGAATATAAATTAGAATATAAAATAACATTCAGTCAATGTGTCGTCAATAAACTGTACAATTATCAAATGTTAAAACTGGGTGATACAGTCACCAAAAATAAATACTAAGTATAATAAGTAAATAAATTAAATGTGGTCTATAAAACTACCACTAGGTATAATAGGTCAATAAATTAAAAGTGGTTTATAAAACTACCACTGTGCGAACCCTTCCTCCAGTTAAAACATGTCAGTCATGTGCAAAATCAATCAAAATGGTAAGGTGGTAAAAAAAGGGAAAATCCTTTCGATACATCAATTATATATGCCTCAGATTTAAAAGAATTAGAAGATACTTAGTTATCGACAACTATGATTGCAGTGTAAAATTTGTCATATGAATTGTCGACGGTATAATTAGGGTCTGTTGTTATAGATGAGAGTAGCTGTTTCTTATACGAATCACTTAAGCTTTTAACATCAGGCAGATTTCGTAGATCTGTTGGAACATTATTCCAACATTTTGCCCCCAAGTATTGAAAGTTTTTATGTGATGTTGATCTATTAACATATAAGTTGCAGCTTTCGCCGCTCCTACTACCTCCTGATATGTAACTAAATTTGTTCATAAAGTTTGTAGGACAATTGTCATGGATGATTCTAAACATATAATTTGACAGATGGAGTTGTCGTCTAAGATGGAGTGGTAACCATTTCATGTCTCTATAAACATTAAGGCTGCTCTCTGTTTGTGGAACGTTGAGAGCTATTTTGGCTACCTTTTTGTACAGAGTGTCAAGTTCAGCAAGTTTTGTCTTGCCAGCTCTACAATAGATCGTGTCTAAATAATCGAATTGTGGCAACATGAGTGCATTGGCAAACATTTTCCTATATTTAATGGGTAGCAGTGCTTTACTTCTATACATGGCACCAATTCTCTTCATGACCTTCTTAATAATATAATCTACATGGCTTTTGAAGTTTAATTTACTATCTAGAATGAGGCCAAGATATTTTGTCTCTTTGCACTCCTTGATTGTGAAAGTTACCTCATTACATTCAATGGTTAATTCATCATGTTGATCAACAGAATCAAACAATAGGAATTCAGTCTTCGTTTCATTGAGTGATAATTTATTTACACTGAGCCATTTAAAGATTGTCATAAGTTCTATTTTCATGTTTATAAATGTGCTTCTGCAGGTTTGATCAAAGAATAGTGCACCATCATCTGCAAATAGAAAGGGCTTAGATAGGTTACAGGCATAAATGATGTCATTTATGAAGATACTAAATAATATAGGCCCAATGATGCTTCCTTGTGGTACACCACTCAGAACTTCTAAAAATGAACTTAGTTTGCCATTGATCCTAGTGCATTGATATCTACAAGATAAGAAGTTCTTAAACCAGGTTAAAGCAATGCCACCAATTCCATAATATGCCAATTTTTGAAGCAATATTTCATGATTCACTGTGTCAAAGGCCTTCTTAAGATCAAGAAAGATTATTCCTGGTTTATAAGACTTAGATTTACTCATATATATTTCGTCCATCAGATCGTACATCAAATAAGTTGTGGAGTGATTTTTCCGAAAGCCATATTGATGCCGGATGAAAAGTTTGTTCTCTTCCATGTAATCAGTGAGTTGCTTGCCGACAAAGTATTCTATAAGTTTTCCTACAAGTGGAAGGATGGATATTGGCCTGTAATTATTAGGATCATCTTTCATTCCTGCCTTATGGATGGGAGTTACTCTAGCTCTTTTACAAAGGGTTGGTACAACACCTGTATTAAGGCTCAAATTGACAATATGGGTCAGTGGCTCAACTATGTGTGGTACAGCTTGCTTAAGTAAAAATAGAGGCACATCGTCATATGAGGCCTTATCATTCTTGAGTGTTTCGACATACATTAGGATATCAGTTTCATTTATTTCTTGGAATCTATCAAATGAGATGTTAGAAGTTCTAGGAGGTAAAAAATCAGTAAAACTAACTCTTTCAATATTGGGGGCCTGATTTTGTAATCTTGATCCAACATTTGCAAAATGAAAGTTAAATAGCTCAGGATCATTCTCATTGATAGTTTGACAATTAGTTGTACCAGGGGTCATATTTGATGCCAGTTTGATAGTTTTCCATACCCCTTTAAGATCATTCTTGGCACTTTTAACTTGTAGATCATCGATTACATTAGCCTTTTTGCAGGTTTTAGCTAATTTATTTCTAATATTTCTCTGAATCTTGTAGCAATCCCAGGCCTCATTACACTTTATACATTTGCTACATATACCACATTTATTGCAATTTCCATTGTCTCTCTTATCCTTCTTTTTACGGAATTTCTTTAGAAGAAAATGTGTATGATTAATGGCATTTAAAAGTTCAGTAGAAGGTTTATGTATGAACTTTTCATGCCTTTCTATGGTCTTGCAAGGGAAGAAGGTTGCATATGCCTGTTCAATATGATGACAAAGGCCAGCAGTGATAGCTTCAACATCTGTACTTTCCAATAGTGGACTGTAATCAGAACAGGTATCTAGATAGTCTAGGAATTGTTTAACATTACGTTTACAATGATTTCTAATTTCAACCTTTTCAAATTTAGGAGCTATAGGTACTTTACAATCTATCTCACACATAATAGCTTGATGATCCCCAATACGTTCATCAAGAACAGAAGATTGAACAAAATCTGCATAACAGTTAGTGAATATTACATCAATAGTAGTCTGGGTAAAATTGTCTCCACGTTTAGCAACTCTAGTTATCCCTTGAATGGTTTGAACTAGATTGTAACATCTCAAGGTCATATCTAATTTTTTGTACTGGGTGGATGAGATATTATTCTGGTCAATGTTTATATCCCCAATCCAGATAACCTTTTTCCCGTTCAATTTTTTCATGCAAAAATGAATGTACTCAATAAAGTTATCAACACTGCAATAATTTCCAGAGCGATAGAAGCAGCAAACATTGATCTTGCTATTCTTAAGCTTCACCCATAATGCTTCAATGTTATCAAGCTTACTATCCATAACTAATTCTGTGTAAGCTAGTTTTTTGTTTATCATTAAGCCACAACCACCCCTAGAACTGTTTGGCCTGTCGCATCGCATAATGTTGAAGGAGGAAGGAATATTTATGGTGTCTGTGTCAATAGTATCATTAAGATTCATCTCATTTAGGGAAAGTATGTCTAGCTTATGATCTCGAATGAGTTGAGTAAGTTCATTACTTTTAGCTAAATTTAGGAGACCACCTTGAATGTTACAGTGACCAATGCAAAGGTTATGAAATTTGTCAGCTGAGTTGTGAATATTTGTCATTTCACAAAACGTGTTAGTCGTTGTGTCTGATTAAACTAAAATCAGGTGAAAATTATCCGCCTGTAAATATTTTCAATAGAAAAGTTTTAAACTTGAAATAAAAATAAATATTCAGGTGGAAATGTCATGTCGATTTCAATGGTGGGCATGGTACTTGATGTGCTTTGCTAGTTTAAAGATACCATCGCTGTTTAGATGCACATTGTCTTCCCCAAATCTACTAAAACAAGATGATTTCCTAAATCCAGATCTATCACTAAACAAGAATCGATTCATCTCTGTGGGTATAAAGCTAACAAACGAGTATTTGGAAGGAATCTTAGATAAAAAGATATTGATGTCATTTATCACTTTATTTCTAGCAAAACTTTCTCTTGGTAAAATGTTTATGATCTTAATTTTTGCAGCTGGAGCCCACGAGTGAAGTGACTGGATCAGATTATCAATAGAGCGATTGGTGTTATCAAGGGCCTTTGCTTTTCCTGTGAACTCATCGGGTGACAATAATCTATTCCTCATGTGTCGAGGACTCTCTAGGATTAAGTCCACATCATTAGTTCCACACATGAGTACGATGGTCTTCACATTATTTGCATCAATTGACCTCTTTCTTTCATCTGAGTGGAAGCGTTCATTGATACCGTTTGCAATGCCACCAGGATAGTGAAATACATGTGCTTCTTGATGAGCAGAGGATAGTTTTGTAGCATCTAACTTGGAGAACATGCTTGAGCTAACATACACAGCAAGGGATTTGCTTTTGACTGAAGCAGGGGGTATGGTGCTCTTATGAGTGATTTTGTTGGGTGATGATTTCCCTTTGATTGAGGGTTCAGTTTCTCTTACAGTAACGAAAGGCTTACTTGAGGTATCGGGTGGAGCAGACAAGGTTGCACTGCCATCAATCTGGCGCAGAGTAATGCTAATTCTCATGTCATCAGTATGGTCCTGAATAAGGCTGTGTTCAAAGCTGTCCTGAGATTTTCTGGTCATAATCATTATGTCGCCATGGGAGAGAGTAAGATTGGCAACGTGGACTTTGCTTTTAGACCTAAAACTGAGGACTCTTGTTGCTCCTAACGATATGGTGGAAATCATGGAGCCTGGTGATATGGACCTCTCATCATCTGAATGGAATGGTATTCCTTGCTTGCCATTTTCATACTTGGTGATCATGGCGCTGTTAAATTTCAGACTTGGGAACTGTGAGCGTAAACGTTCTAAAATAGACTTTAATAAGGGATTGTCATTTAACGGCCTTGTGTTATGGAAGCCTCCATTGTAGGCATATGGGAAATCCCCATAGTATGCTACAGCCCTATTGTTGAACGTTTGTGTGTATTGTGTTTCCATATCCAACTTGAGAGTATCAACAAACCTGAATACACCTCGACTCAAATCATGATATGGATTGATGGACTTACCCACAACGTTAACACTGGTTGAAGATTGTTTGTTAACATCAGAAGAATTCACAAGAGATGGGTTGCTATTAAGTTCAGTCACACTGCTAACTTCACAGTTTTGAGTTTCTGATTCATGTTCAGAGATAAGAACATTGTCCCCGCAAGAGAATGGAACCGCAATTTTGTCATGGCCTGAGCCTTGGGTAAGTTTGGTTAGACGAGCAATTTGTCTCCTCAGATTGTCGTTTTCAAGACTTAGTGTTACACAGGTAGAACATTTTGCTTTTGCACTGTTAGGTCTGTCACGAAGGCTGTAATTTCTGATTGGGATACCGGACATAGTTCAAATAAACACAATAATGCAAAGAATTCAGGATAGAGTCTAAAACCGATGCTACTGTTTATAGTTATTTAGTTGTTGATTACAGTACCTTTGCAGCAATTCAGAAGATGGGAATGAGTGGTGTCTGATATTCTTTAGGTGATAGATGGGTGATAGGTGATAGATGGGAGTTAACAGCTCTTAAAAACGATGTCTGATAGTCTTTAGGATGTCTTTAAATAAACTATCATGCAACAACCATTGACATCGACATACAACCTGTAATGGTTGCTACATTTGATTGAGGTGTTAATTCCCACTAGGGGTCCTCAAATTATTTGTTATATAGTAGTGTTGAAAGTATTAAAACTGTTACATACCGGTGTTACACACAGGTGTTACACACAGGTGTTACACACAGGTGTTACACACAGGTGCCGATATTCAATTTGTTCGAGAAGTTTAACAAATTGGTCGTCTGAACGTTAAAAAACGTCCCAAACTACAAAACATCTCCTTTTAAGTTTCCTGACTCACCAGATGTTATGATGGTCGTATCTATCCACACAAACGTCACAGAAGCGACAATGTGAGGCCCGAACTGGACGCACAATCGTACACTTATCACAGTAGAGTATGTGATTTGTGTTCTTTGATTGAACAACTGCTATCTTTCCAGCATCCTGGAGAAGGGTTACATTACATCAGAATTAGAATTAGTTTGGAATTTACACACATTTAGATCGGAATTTACACAAAGAGTGTAATTAGATAGTTTAAGGAGATTTATCTTCCAAACAGAGTGATAACAGTTGTTTAATGATAATATTATAAATGTAGCATTATGTCCAGTAACAAGTATCATGTGCAATGTACAATGTACATGCATTGGTTTTAATGTAAGGCGTATGCGAATCCTGAATAAAACTACATATTATTTCAAATTATAGAAATTGAGCGAAAAATAGGATTTACCTGTTTAAAATTATAAAGCACCGATAAGTAGACCATAAGCCAGAAGTAAAAATAATATATGTGAATAGTTTCAGCTCTCAGGAAAATCTGAAAATAAGGTGTGAGCGTTTAATTCCAGACCATAATGACCCCATAATGAAACTGAAAACATCTTATGTTTACAGTATAGTTTTATTGATGCTTTGAATTTACATAGAACATATTATAAAGTTATAAGAACATAGCTTAAATGGGTTCTACAAAAACGATTGACAAACTAAGTAACAGAAACCATTTTAATAGTCAAATAACCACTGACCTTACAACTGTAGAGAACTAAAGATGTTACAGTATGTAACATGCTTAGCAAGAAGAAGTAGATAGACTTCACCCCACTACGTCGCACATACCGGTACATCCTCGTCAGGAATACCGCAAATATTATACCTGTCAGACATTTCTTTAGATAAATATATTGAGATAAATAGACGAATTTATTTTATAAAATACATTAAAATACTTATATTACAAAAAATCAGAGTAATAAACAGCATTTCACAGTAAATTATCGGTTTTATGTGCCCACTATGTTGGAATAAATTCATCAACATTGCTATTATAACCAACATTGCTTATCCTCTGCCTTGTTAACAAAGAGCAAATTTTCTTAATGCCTTCTCCCTGTCCTAAAACCAAAACTTCATCCTATTAAAGTAAAGGCCTGTTGTTACCACAAGCTATTATATAGTTATATCGTCCCTCTCAAAAACATGCCTCAACCTCCATCAAAAACAATTTTAGTTTTCAGTCCTTCTAGTTTCCAAAAATGTACCGAGCTAGTGTTCTGGTGTGCACAAAAGCCCCTAAGCCCGTGCATTCCTTGCCCCGCTAGCTGCCAGTCCTTGGTAAACTTCCAATAGCAAAGATCAACTAGTCATTTACAAATTGAGCACTATACAATTTTAATTGTTTTAAATATTTGACTTTGTAAAATGAGCTAAAACATTGATTTATTAGTTTCATTGATTTATTAGTTTCATTGATCAGCCAACATGATCTGTAAAAGGAAATCCAAAATAGACTTTCCCGGAATATTTGAATATATTTAACTAGATTATTCAGCTGAATGCTTAAACTTACTTGCTAGACCAAGCGCAATCATATTGATACTGCCAACTATAAGGTAAAAACAGAAAAGTGTGGTCACAGCCACTGCATGGTTATCAACTTTCATAGCTCCGCCAACCCAAGGGACTCTAATTCGGTCTGTTATATCTTCTAATGCTGAAAAAATTTGTTTAGATAGTTCCTTTATCAAATTAGGAATTTCGAATGATATTGAACTTAAGGGGGAATTTAAAAAATCATAACACTGATTTAATATTGATTTTTGACTTTAATTAACATAGAAAGCGAAATCTAAACAAAACATGCAAATTACTTTTATAAGAATTACCAGAATCTAATAAATCTGTTGTGGCGAAATCACAAGAAACAGCTCGCTCACAGGCAGTGTCTAATGCATCACAGCTACAAAAACATTGAAAACAGGATTTCTTTTCACCATAGATGTCTACATACTCAAAACAGGAGAGATCGTGATGTTTCCTATGAGGTTCCCCACATGTCCTGTTCATGCAAGCTGAGAGCATAGTTTGATTTAGATAAAAATCTATGCATTCAGATTCTTGTTTGGAATACAAGCAAAGTAAAGTAACGTTTTAAAAAATTGCGCCGCCGCGATAAGCCAAAGTAGGTAAAATCGCTGCAAAATCGCACAAAAGATAGTATTTTTGCAGAGCTAAGTTAGATGTCATATATTCGTTAACTTTCCAATTTTTACGGCTCATGTTGCATGATGATGTGATCTGAAATCATATCATCGGGGGCCCGGGGGGTGACATGTTCGCCTATGTCCTGTCCATTTTGAATTCTATGAGACAACGGTTTTTGGAACATTGAAGGACATTGGTGGGCTGGGACAGGATTTTTCGCACATGATATGGACACAGTATTTTTGGCTCATAATGATCAGGGTAGCATGAAACATGAACAAAAGTAGTTTCTAGAAAAAAATTTACGTAATCACTTATCAACCCTAAGCATTCGGAAGCCCCCCCCCCCCCCCCCCCCCCCCCCCACCCCCCCGGCCCAACAATGATAATGCCCTGTTTCACCTTGTAGCCCTGTGCGCAGCTTCGTCATTCGTGGCTTTCGCCACAAAACCACTTCGTGCAATGACAGGAGGTTACGACATGATACAAATAATTCCATGTTGGCATAAGAAAATTTTAGTTGCACATGTTCTGAGACCAGAAATGGGACAGTTCTTGGACTAAAAACAGCTGGCAAAAGGAACCAGTTGCCTGTAAGAGCTTTACTAGTACCCGAAATACCGCTTCTAAAGCACCACCCCAAGCCTTATATCAGCTGAGCACAAACGTATATATTGTTTGAGGATTTTTACAACAAATCAGCTATTTTTACAACAAATCAGTACATACTATCGAATATTGCATATTAGGATGTAAAAGTTTTAATACATTTAAATATATAATATAATACACGTTAAAAAGTTAAGTGTCTAGTATTTGTGTTTGTTATTATCAAGTTCAAGTAGTAGTCCCCGTCATAAGCCGGGGACTACTATGAAAGTGATGATGCTGTGTTGTTGAAAGACCTTCGACCAATCAAAGATGTACCTCATCACGCCAAGCAGTTATGCTTGTAGGTGAATATACACTTATAGAGTACAACAACTTTATAACACTCCACATGTTGTAAAAACAAAATATTTACAAAACAAAACGACGGGGACACAGAAGAAAACAACAATTTCAAGAAAACAACAAGGAGAAAGACAACACATCACACGGACAGAAACTGCTGCTGAGTTGACGAGTATCTGATTGTATTACTGGGCCGCGCTCAGCCTGTCATTCCGCCCTATCTCTAATGTTAATGAACATAATAGCCTGGGGTCCTCAGGTAACTGATTGTATTAATTATGGGTCTCTTCAAAGTGATCAGATCGTCATCCAACATGTTTGCTACCGCCTAATGAGGCTCATTGTTGCACGTTAGCGAATAGCTCCCAATAATTAAGTGCCGAGATCATGTATTTGCAATATTTTAAAAGAGTCATAACTCAGCCCAGTAGTGCATCGCGTTACAAGCTACAGGGCCGCGCCATGCATCAAATAATGTTTCTCGCAACCACAACTGTGGTTGTCATACGTTGTATGACCCGCCGCGCACGAAGTGCGCGGCTCCCCCTGTATCGTCCAAGACTATAATGAAGCTATAGACTATAGTGAAGCGACAGTGGGGATCATCACGTGATACAGAACTGTGGTAAATCGGCAAAATGCATTACTGAGCCCCACCGAAATGCGAAAGATTGACATCGTGAATCATCGTGCGCGGCGGGCTGTGTATATGGCCTGGTTTAATATGAATTTAAAATTTGAATTTATCTATGAATATATCATATGTACTGATTGTTTTGTGGTAAATATGTTCTTACGAACCTTCGGCGGGTGCGCGCCGCGCTATATATTGCAAACGCGAGGGCTCTTGTCAGAATTAAAATTATACTGTTAAAATATTTGTTTCAGAGATATTCTAAAACCGTCGATGAGTCTCAGAATCTAACTCAGCGCGCTTTTTGTGTTTTGATAGGTTATAAATAAAACATACAACTAAACTTTAATGTTTTATAATCTAGAGCGTTTTGATAGGAAGGTCGAAGGATTAGTATTTAAATATTTAGTTTGATTGACGATGTCAATCCATTGAGATCGTTGCTTTGCGAAGCAAAGCAACGATCGACGACGAAGCAAGAATGCTAGTTTGCGCGGCGCATCGAAGTCCTCCAAGTATTTAGTCAAAAAAATTTTAACGTAGCAATGCTATAAAATATATTTCAGCGTTCATAGGATACAAGGATACAAAAATTGAAAATACAAAAGTGATGATTACTTTATTGAGTACACATTAGTTGTAATTTTGAAACAATTTAAGTTATAAGTTACACAATTCTAATTATTTACAGATATGTAGCAATAATTTAAAATTATTATATAATATAATGCCTTGTTTGTTTTTAAATAAATCGAGTTTGTATGGTTCAATTTTATTTTAAGGTCCTATAGCATTATGCACTTGCCAGAATTTGATTGGAAATCTGGGCTCTTACAATACTACTAGGCTGTATATTTTTCGTTCACAGAGAGAATTGAATGGATTGCGTTTGCTGTGGCAGTAAAAATAGTAGGATCTAGAGTTTTGTTGGAAAGCACACCGGCTAGATCAATGATGTTTTGGGGATGGAAGTTGAATTTTCCCTAGGAGTAAAGCAAACAGTCAATAAATTAATAAATTATTCAAACAATATACACATAATATTATATAGCAATGACCCTATATAAAATCTACCCTTTAAGAATTAAAAAAGTTTCCTAAACAACTGTTTATATCAACAATGTTTTTTCTCGCACCTCTGTCTCCACGGAGAGAAATCACTGTTGTTTTTTAGGATTTCAAAGCGAAGGCGCTTTTTTTCAAAGCGAAGGCGCTTCTTTTTTTTTTCTTAAAAAAATTTGTTTTCCTTATGTATCCTACAGCATCCGAGTACCTCTGGCCAGTGTGGTACTCCATCTTACTGGCCAGCTTCTTAACCAGTCCTCAATAGGCTTGAGCCCTTTGCTGTAAAGCAGTAGGTGCACCAACGTTCTTCTCTTGACCTACAGGGGTGGTTTCGTATCTGCCCCATTCGATGTAGAGGTTGTGGCAGCTGATACGAAACCTTGTCAAGCTTTTTCGAACATCAGGTATTTTGATCATTCGTAGATATGCCTCTGGTTCAAAATCATGTTTAATTGAATTATAGAATTCTAGTTTTGGCAAGGAGGCCTTGGCAGAATTCCAGGAATTCTTGCCTCATATTATGACTGATTTGGGTGGAGAGCTTAGATTTTGAGGAAGATGAGTGGGGGAAGTTGTATCAGGTGAGAAGCTTTGAGATGTTGGTATACCAAGGAAGGCCCAGCATGATCTGCTCGTGAAATGCAGCACAGAGTAGTTTGTTTTCAGTGCTTTCAAGACTACTATAGTTGTCTATCACAAGTTTGCAGGCTTCAAAGAATAGGGGGTGGTGCCCACTTTTGCCCCAGCAACCTTTATTTGATGCTTTTGAATTGACGAACAAAGACCACTTGATAAACTTTAGGTGGAATTTTTCATAGTGGTCTTGCCCAGGTTAAAAAAATAATATTTAAAATCTTCATCCTATAGCAGGTCAATTTTACGCTTTAAATTAAATTATTTTAGGCTACTAATTTTTCAGGATTTTCGGGCAACATTCGAGATATTATTCTTTTCCGTGTTTCACTGTGTCTGCCAACAAAATTTTAGTGTAGGTCAGAAAAGGAGGCTCTATCCCGGGACACCAACATTTTTTGGGTTGGCACCCAGGAGAAAGCTGCCTTATTCTTTGTATTTTGTCTCAAGTATTTTAGCATCTTCTTCCACTCTGTTTATTTCACCGTCTCTAGACTTGTATGTTGCCCAGATAATTTGACATGACTGTATTGGATTTTCTGTAACATCAGTTACTGTTCTGCTGTAAGCTTTTTTAATAATTTTGTATTGTATATTGAAGTATTCAGATTGTTTGTATATTTGGAGTTATATATATATTTGGAGTCTCATACTTAGATTTCTTGTGGTCATCATCTATTTTTCATATGTTTTGTTAGAAAACCTGCTAACCTTTCTTGGATATCTTCTTGTTAAAGGTGTTTCTGCCTTATTTAGTCAGGATTTAACTTGTAGCTATAAACTTCCGTTTTTAATTCCAGTCCAAGGCGAGATGCACGATCTCTACTGTCATTTAGGTATCATTTACAGCTGAGCATAAGGGTTAAATTTAAATTATTTAACCTTTTGGTGCTGTATCAAAATAACATTAATTTATTATTATTATTATTAATATTGTTTTTCTTAAAATTTTTGAGGGACACAACGATTCTGAACTTACAGTGGCGTGCAATCACATGTATTTTAGGTGTTTATATTGTAAAAACTTCAACATAACGCGCGCGAGAATTTGCGCGAGATCTGTGTGAGATTCTTTAATCTCATACGCAGGCTCATGGTCAAGTGAGACTGGCCGTAAGCCTACGGTGAGCTTTTTCAGCAACATAGATTTCATTCCTATCGAGTAGGTGGCCTAGTGGTTAGAGCATCCGCCTTCTGTGAAGAAGGTTCAGGGTTCGAATCCCAGTGTCACCTAGTCTAGGGAGTTGCTAAGGATCCATTGAATCTACGCGATCTCCTCGGTTGTTTATCTAAGACAAGACGATGGGTATCCGCAGTGGCATCTATTTAAAAAGTGGCTAGGAATCCAGTTTGTAAATGAAAAAAAAAGGCTATATATTTTTTAAACGGCTATAAATTTTTCAGCCGCTTTGTGGATGATTTTATTATGTTTCACCCTCAATTCGATACCTCACTGTATCGTACTTTGCTAATTATATTACTAAGGTATTATTAGTTACTCATAATTGTCAAAAAAGAAAATTATATTCAACCAAGCCTTGAACACGCAATCTTCATAACTAAATTCTGCGAGATAACCAACT